GTGGGTGGGTGGGTGGGTGGGCAGGCGGGTGGGGTGTATTCCCCTGTACCAGCTTGATCCTGCTTGAAGCCTGCTTGTACCCACCCCTGGGCCCCTGCGCAGGCAGCTTGGCACAGTGGGACCGAGACCATCATGAGTGCTGCAGAGCAGATATCAGATTGCTGAGGGGTAAAGCGTTTATCGATTCCAAGCAGGCTCAACAGCGAAAACTTGGCGTGTGACCTGCCATGCATTGTGATCGAGTGACAGCGTTGCTGCGGAGTGATGTGCTGCATGATATCATTGTCTATGCTGCGCAGCTGTAATGGTCAGAAAGAGAAAACAGCCAATCAGCAGTGCCCTAGATCATGGTGCGTCATGTCTCCAGCCGCAAGCTGGACAATCAGTTTGAAGACTCCGCTCAACAAGTAGTTACCCGGCTGTTGGAAATAGCCTTTCTGAAGCTAGGGCAGCTAGGACCTCATGGCCCAGCTGCTGACCACTCATCACGCCATCGTTCCAGGAGTCCGCGACTGGTGGTGGTGCTGGTGGGTCTGCGGGTGAGGTTGCTAGTGCGGCTGCTGGTGCTGGCGCTGGCGCTGGTGCTGGTGCTTGTTTGCGTGGGCCTGTACCGGTATTCATTTACAATAGCTTCTCAGTGCATGACCAGGAGCTGAAACTGTCCCGTTGCTTGTGCAAGTACATACTGTTGTAATTGTTGTCACTTACCTGCATGTGGAAGATGAAAACATCTGTCGGTGCACATGCTGCTGTTGTCATACCAGCGGGTGATCGTCTGCAGTTTGCATGTTCACCTGCCTACGCAGATTCCTGCCCATGTGTGCGTCTCCAAACAAAGAGTAGATGCTCTTCATGCAGTGGCTTGGCTTTTTCTGGTTGAATCATGGCTTCCAGTCTGGCGACTAAGATATATGACGATTCGATGTATGCTTGTGAAGTACAGAACAGCAGTTGTTTGGGCACCCGCCGGCTGGAAGTAATCTTCAACACAAAGCTGCTTGACAAACAAATCTGCAATGCTGCACCAATGCTGCACACATGCCAAGAAATCTCCAAAGCCACTGCCTGTTCCGGAGCTGCCAGGACTCGAAGTGTTCGATCCAGTGTCGGAGCTGCTCGAACCAGTGCCGCTGTCGCCGCCAGACGCACCCGTCCCGCTGCCAGTATCGTCCGCTGCATCTGAACTTCCCGTACCAGTACCGCTGCCATCGCTGGAATCTTTTCCGCTCTCTGTTTCGGAGCTGCCTGTGCTTGTGCTGCTGCTGCTGCCGGTGCCCTCTCCGGTATTTGTGCCTGAACTTTCCGTACCGGTACCCGTTCCAGTGTTGCTGCCCGTCCCGCTGCCACCACTGCTGGAATCTGTCCCACTGTCTGTTCCGGAGGTGCTGCCGCTACTGGTACCGGCGCCTGTGTTCGTGCCTGTGCCCGTTCCACTGCCGCTGCTGTCCGTGCCACTGGATGTCGAGGTGCCGCTGCCAGACCCGCTCGTGGCGGTGCTTGTTGTGATTGTTGATGTTATCGTGAAAGTGGTCGTTGTGGTAGCTATGCTGGAGTCTGTTCCAGCGCCAGTGTTGCCATCGCCCGTGCCAGCGCCCGTCCCGGTTCCAGTGCCAGTGCCCGTGCCAGCACCCGTATCGGTACCGGTTCCAGATCCAGGTAGGGTTCCTGTAGCTTGGCCATCACCTGTCAAACATGTTCAAGGAAGCACCGATCTTCCATACAACCAAATCGCCTGCGAGTCGACGAAAGTGCTCCTCCCGCATCCAAGGCCAAGTTAGATGCAGGTGGCAAAGGCAGCACTTCAAATACACATGCCTTGACAGCTTACTGAGGCAAGATTCCAGCAGAAAGGCCATCATGATGTGTTGCTACACGGGACAGAGCATGTAAGCATAGCAGACGAGACATTTGCCACTTCTATATCCTGATGCAAACACGAAAAGTTGATTTAGCTGTGCAGAGCTTTCAAAGCAGTGTGTCAGAAAGGTGCCGTCGTCTTGCCAACGGCATTTGCCGAAAGATCTGCCGCCAAGCGACTTACCCCCTGGATTTGCTGCCAGAGCGGGGGACACTCTCGCATCACGTCGTTGTCACTGGCGCATCGTAGCTGTGGTATGCTTTAGTGCTGCCAAGGCATTCATACACGGGAAGGGGTTTTTGATATCCACGCTGCGTCGGCAACTTTGGCCTCTGCTACTTGCACTTCGTCGGAGTCCGCTGAAACTGCTGTGTCTGCTGCATCTGGTACGTCTGCTGCGTCTGCTGCGTCTGCTACTGCCTGCCACCAAGGCCGTCGCATATAGTAGTAGTTGCACCCACCAATCTAGTCGAAATTAACGGAATTTCCGCCACGCTTTTGCCCGCCGCTTCCATTCAGAAAAACTCACAAAATCAGTCCATCCTGCCAAGATCCTAGCCATATCACCTGAGGCCTCAATGTGCCTGTCCTCAGCATGCGTTTACACCACACTTCCCGACGACGGCTTATGGGAAAAATGTTTAGTGCAATGCTTCAGGCTGAGAACTCGCTCCGA